TGTCACGGTGAGAAGTCTAGACAGTAGTTTGCCTGACATCGTGCGGCTAGTAAGTGATGGTTCTGAGGTTTTAGCACAGTGGATCTGAGCGTGTGATTCTGTCTGTGCTACCCCAGCTCTGGAGGACAGTTGGGAGGGCTGAGATATAGAAGTTGTACTCAGTGGGAATGTAAGTGCTCTCAAGATATAGAGGTGCAGTGAAGACACAAGCTTTAATCAAAAGGGGTAAGGGAGTTCAAGGAGGGGTGTGGCACTTGGGGACATTTTACAAAGATCTCTAGCAGGAGAGAAGTGCTCGGGTCTAGGCCTGCATTTCTGGGGTGGGAATGAGGACAGTCTGGTGTGTGTGTGTGGTTCGGGGTTGAGGCTTCCTCTGGTAGTATAAAATTAGATAAGCTAACTCGTCCAGGTGAAACGGTCCAGACCACAGGAAGGCCCCAGGCACCCAAACTGAGAACTGGCTGGACTGGGCAAGAAGAGCAGATCAAGGAAGTTTAGGGAGGAACCAGAGTGAGATGCAAACTCTGGCTTTCTATCACTTTCTAGTTAAGAGGTCACAGACAAGCTGCCCTCTAGTTTCTGCCTGAGTTCCTCGGTGCCAGGATGCAAACAGTAGTTCACGTTTAAGCAGCTTGTGTAAACTGAAGTAGCCTGCATGGAGTGGTTACTATGACTCCTGGCGTGGAGCTGGAACCACATTCAGTGAGAGCCTCCTATGGTCACTGTCCTCATTGTAATCCCGAACACCTGGCTGGAGCTCCCGTCCAGGGAAGGGCGGTTGGTTACAGCAGCCTTACTGCTCCAGTCTGGCTGCCTGAGTGGACTCTGGCAGGGCTGAACTGGTCTTCAAAGTAACAGACTGCCATCTCTCCATGCCTCACTGCGACCTATAATTAGATCTGGTTTTTAGGGAAAAACCAGGACTGAGAAACAGAGGAAGAAGAGGCTATGAGCTGCCCATCTTATGAACCTGGGCTAACACAGTCTGCTCAGCAGTCATTTCTTGGTTGTTATTTTAGTTTCTGACATTTTCCTTCTGTAGCTTTGCTGGGATTTCTGAATATTCTCTTTCTCAGAAGAGTCAGTTCGGACTAGCCTCACGCTCCTGGTAATTCTCCTGCCTCAGCTTTCTAAGTGCTGGGTTCATAGGCATAAGCTGCCATGCTTAGCTCTGAGCCCTTCTGAATGAGCCTTGTCCACACACTTCCAGCCCTGTGCATAGTAGTGTTATGCTTAGAGACAGATACACTCCTGCAGGGAAAAGACACATAGTATGGACATTCCTCTAATGGCACAGTAGAAGGACACATGCCAGGAGAGGAGGAAAGAGCATATATACTGACTGATACCCTTCTGTGGGATCAGACTTGGCCAGGGAGCCTGCAAGTCTTCACCACACAGTCCTGAAAGGAATGTACTTAGGTCATTGCATAAGTGAAACTTGCCTGGAGCCACATTCAGCTTGCAGATATGAGAATCCAATGGAGATCTGGTCAACAGCAGAGTCAGATCCTCTTTGATACCAAGAGAGGACCATAGGATTAACATGAATATCTTTGCTGGTGTTTTAAAATGATATAAGATCTTTTTACAAAAACCCGAAGAACCCCATTGCTTCAGAGCTTTTGGGCTGGGAGAACCTAGTACGAAAAGAGGACTGTCTTTCCATGGAAGGCAAAGGTATTCTGCTTTCTAGGAAGCAAAGGGCTGGAGAAGGCCAGCCACCCTGCCTTTTTGTCCGGGGGAAAGCTTCAGCTCACTACCACCTGCAAACCCACAAGGATGAAACTGCTTGTATTTTTGTGTTTTTAGTTACCGGGTGGCTTTCTTGTCTAGGGACAGAGTAAAAGAGCTAAAGCACAAGGAACTATTTCTGGACCCTGGCCTTTGGATATGCAGCCTTATCCTGTTTACTCATCCTCTCCAGATTTGCACAGCCTGACCACAGAAATGTTACCCTCCAAGGCCAGGTAAATAGAGGGAACCAATAGTCTCCAGTAGTGGATGGCGATTGAGAAACCATCGGAGCCCAGAGCCCCGTACTAAGTACTATTTAAGTGGTTCAGGACTCTTGACCTGGGACTGCCACAGTAGAGGCCTTTTCCTGATAGGGGAGGAGACCATGCAGTGCGTCTCCCGAGAGCCCCTCTCTTGGATTACTCCTGGTCATGTTACATGTGTTACATTACCAAACTGAGTTAGGCGGGGAGGAAGAGGAAGAAGGAAGTCTTACTCAGAGCAGTGGGAATGAGATAGGTCTCTGGCAGAAAACAAAATCGGAATAAGGGGTCTGTGGAAAGACTTCAAATTATTTTCTTCACCTAATCAGGTGAGAAAAGAATGTTAGGATGTGGCAGGGTCAAAGGGCTGAGAATGGTCCTTTCATGGCAGCCAGTTTGTGTCCAGGTTGTGAGTTTGAGAGAGGGATTGAGGGAGGGAGGAAGACAAGAAGAAGAGAGGACAATTTTGTGCCCTAGAGTCACAGAAGTTAGTTGAGGGACACAGTACTAAGGTCCCTTCTCTAGAGTGTTTTCTGTCATTGTGGAAGTAAGGCAAGAACTCAAGAAAGGAACCTGGAGGCAAGACCTGAAGCCAGAGCGGGAAGGGACTGACTGGGTTGCTACCCAGGCCTCGATCAGTTTCCTCTTTAATTTTTTTCCCCAAAGATTTACTTTTTTATTTTACACATGTGAGTACAGTGTCTGCAGACACACCAGAAGAAAGAGGTTGTGAGCCGCCATGTGGTTGCTGGGAATTGAACTCAGGACCTCTGGAAGAGCAGTTGGTGCTCTTACCCACTGAACCATCTCTCCAGCCCGTCAGCTTGCTTTTTTATACCATCCAGGACCACCTGTCCAGGGTTGGTACTGTCCCCAGTAGGCGGAGCTCCCCCCATGGACAATCAAGAAAAGGTCAGATTCCCTACTGACAATCCGATGGAGGTATTTATTTCAGGTGATGTTCTGCCTTCTTAGATGACTCCAGTTTCTGACAAGTTGACAAGAAACAAATAAACAAACAAACAAACACCACACAAGACAACAAAAAACAAGCCCCCCAAACCTCCCAAAAACAAAACAAAAAACCACCCCCTCTCAAAACCCTCACAACTAGCCTGCATAGCTTGAAGTCCCAGCGCAAAACAGGCCGGCTTTCCCTCTTACTAGTTATTTCAGAGAAGTTAGGGATTTAAGAGATGGCTCAGTACTTGCTTTTCCAGAGGATCCAGGTTCAATTCTCTGCAACCACATGCTGGCCCACAACCATCTTTAATAGGATCTGATCATTTCTCTTGAAGGCATACAGGCATTCATTCGTGCAGTCACAGAACTCATATACATAAAACACATAAATATTAAAAAGGAAATCTTATCTTTGGTTCTTAATTCTGAGGCTTTTTTTTAATATTATAAGGGGAGTGGGGAACAACTCATCTCCGACATAGGTAAATAGGTAACTAACTGGAAGAGAGAACCCGAGAAGTGGCCCGGTCCTCCACTACCTATAATCCCAGCCTCTCCTAACTGGCCTTTGTATTTCTAAGCTCTTGCTTCCTGGGCTACATTCTCCACACATTAGGTAGGACGCACGTGATCTTTAAAAAAATAAAAAAAAAAAAGCGCCATCTTGTCACTTTCCTATTTAAAACTCCCTAAATGCCATCACAGAGTAAACTGAACCGTTTGCATAGGTCACAGGGTCACGTGACTTGCATCCTGCTGACTTAATCCTTTAGAACTCTTCCTACAGTCAACAACCACACTGCCCTATGTTCTAAGCTCACCATCTGTCTTTTGCTCAGGATCTTTGTACTATTTCCTTTGCCCAGCCTCTGTCCCGGGCACCTGTTATGGAGGTCTTCTCTGACCACCCAGACGAAGTCTCCTAGTCCACACCCATAGCCCTGTTTCATAGTAAATGGTAATGATATGAATTCAACAACTCTACATCATTTAGTTGTCTGCTTCCTTCACACAACCATACAAGCCCCAGGAGAGAAAGGCCTGGCCTGTGTGAAGAAATCTCTGATGCTAACCAAAGCCTGGTACGTGAAGGGTTTATAGCATTCTTTGGATAAATGCTCTTTTCAAATCCTAACAATTCTGTGACGTAAGTGAGACAACGGAGGTCCTGCAGGGTCAGGACTAGAGACTGGTTCAATCTGGCTATGACTGCTGCCTCTTAGCTCTTTATTTTACACACTTAATCTCCTTTCCTGGGACGTTTGGTCAGGCTTTCAGTTACTTCTCAGTGCAGCGGCTCATGCCTTCCCAGATTTCGGAGCCCTTATTAAAAAATGAATCTTTTGGGTGCTCTTACCCCTTCCCCTATGCCCCCCAACCTCGCGCCCCCGCACTGGCAGACAAATCATAAAACTGGACGTGCTTTCTAGTCTGTAGATTCAGTAGCCTTCTCTCCGCCCCCAGTCTTGACTAAGCATCCTAAGGTCCTATGGGGGCGAGGAGATGGCTCCTTGCGTCAAGGGCACTAGGGACTTTCAAACCCGTATCAGGGCTCGGCTATCTGCGCACGGCGGAACCTTTCTTTCGGATAGCCTCGTTTGCCCGCCGGCCGGTTTAGGAAGCAATACCTACTTAAGCGTCCCTCCCACTCCCGCCTTCCCTCCCTCCCTTCGGCTCTGTCTGCGGCGGCTGCTTCCCTCCCGCCTTAAGTTCCGGTGCTGCCGGTGCCGGAGCGTTCCGCCGACACCCACGCACGGCTCGCGGTAGCCCCACTCGCCATCGGACACTTCCGATCTCCGGTGGGCGAGTGCCCGCGGTTTTCCTGCGGCGAGGAGCGAAGCGGAGGCCGTTCCAGATCCTCCAGCCCGGCGCGGGGCAGGCGTGTACATCGCTCGCCATCCGGGGCGCGCGCGGGCCTCTGGAGACCCTAGCGGCGACCCGTAGCTCGGGCGCGCGCCTGTCGCAGCCCGCAGGAAGGAGGCGGCCTGAGGCCCGGGGCGGCGGCCGCCATGGAGATCCCCTCGGCCCAGGGCCGGTGCCTGGGGCCTCGGGGGCGGCCCTGATCGTCCTTCTCCCCGCCCGGGCCGGGTCACGGTTGTGCCTCCGGCGGCGCTCGGCCACCTCTGTGTCTCCGCCCTCGCTGGGTCGCGCTGCTGCCTGGGCGCGGCGGCGGCGCCCTGTTGAATGGGCTGTGAGGGCCCGGGTCTGAAGTGCTGGTGGACGCGGCCTCCGGGGGCGCAAGGCAGCAGCAGCGGTGGCGACCAAACGGGTGTTGGAGTTGGCAGCGGCCATGGAGGGCCTGGCTGGCTATGTGTACAAGGCGGCCAGCGAGGGCAAGGTGCTCACTCTGGCTGCCTTGCTCCTTAACCGGTCGGAGAGCGATATCCGCTACCTGCTGGGCTATGTCAGTCAGCAGGGAGGACAGCGCTCCACACCCCTCATCATCGCAGCCCGCAATGGGCACGCCAAGGTGGTGCGCTTGCTGTTAGAACACTACCGTGTGCAGACCCAGCAGACTGGCACCGTCCGCTTCGACGGGTAGGTACATCCCAACTCCAGCCTCCCTTCGACGCGCGCGGACCTCCCAAGTCCTGGATCCTCCCATCCTTAGCCCTATTTTAATGTGTGGACTCACTTCTTTTTCAGACCCCCTTCAGCCCCATTGATACCCACCTCATCTCCTAAGGCTACGTTTTGCCGTCTTATCGACTCCTACGGTATTCCCCCTGTAGGTGGTAGCCACACCCTGGGTCTTGAGATCCATAGTCTTCTCCATTAGTCAGCGAACATGCAGGGTCGGAGTGGTGGCTGCCCATCTAGGTTTTTATATCTTTATATCAGCACTGGCGTCGTAACCTAGACCGGAAATTAACGAGATCAACAATTAAAATTGAGGACCTTTTGATGTTTCATTTAACCTCTCCGTATCCCTTCTGCTCCCGGTCCCCCGTGGTCAGATCGAGCCTCAAGCAGATCGCTGGGGCTTTCTGTTAAAATAAGCCCCTAGAATTTCGTCAGGCAGCCCGGCATCTCTAGACACGGTTCCCATATTGATGGCTGGTATTTTTTGGCTGTACAGGTGGCTCTGGGCCTGGCGTAGAAGTTACGCCATTGCTAAATTACATGCTATAGGGTGATATGGTGGGAAGGCAACACTTAATATTGTTCAAAAATTACTATTATTCTTATAATTTTTTCGTTTGAGGTTAATTGTTTTGGGGGAGGGGGAAGATAACAGAGTCGACATGCTTGACGTTACCTTTTTTTTTTCCTGTGCTGAACGATTGCAGAATGCTTGACATAATACAGCTGTATTCAGAGTTTGCTTTGTTGATTAAGATTGGCTTTTGTTGATCTGCAAATAAATGAGCTATTACTAGTTTAGCATTTTCTTTTGCAGTAGATGGAATCTAAGTTATAGAAATGTGCAATTTAGTTTTGGTTAGTAAAAACTGCCTGACCAAAAAAGCCTGTTTTGAAAGCATTATCCATCCATCCATCCATCCATCCATCTATCTATCTTTGTTACTTCTGGTTTTCAAACCCTGGTCTTGCTGTGTAGCCCAGGCTGGCCTGGGACCCCCCCCCCCCCAGCCTCCTGCTTCAGCTTCTAAATGCTGGCATTATAGGTGTCAGCTTTGAAGCATTTTTTTTTTTAAAGATGATTAGGGCAATGTTAAATTTTGGTTGCTTTTTTACCCTTTAAACCATAAAAGCTTTTGAGTCAGTTTTAAGTGAGAAAGAAATTATTTGGACTGTTACATTCTAGTGAAATGGCAGCCCGGGTCATGGCTTATCTTTGGTGCTACTGTAGATAGCAGGAAGGTGGTGTTGAGCAAAGATGGCAACCCGCTTCATGTTCATTATTCCTCTTTGGGTTTTGTGTCCTGGAAATTTCCAGCATCTCACAACCTTGCCTACCCCTGAAGCAGGATGGCCCCACTATATAAACACTCTGTTAAGTTAGGGATGAGTCCCTGTGATAGCAGCTGTTGCCATGGAGCTTGCTGAGATCTGGGTGGATAAGAGGACCTGTCAGGTAGAAATTGGTTTTCTCACAATTTAGAAAGGCTCTGGTCATTGCTGGCTTCTTAGATCAGAGACGAGAAAGCTATTTTGAGGTGATAATGAAAAAAACCTGATGCCAGGTGTGATGATGCAGGCCTGTAATCCCAACATTGGGAGGTAGGAAAATTATGTAAATTTGAGGTCAGCTTGGTATATAGAGGTTCCAGGCCAGCCAGTGCTACATAGACCCTATTTCAAAACAAACAAGTACCCCTCCCCCAACTCCTGACGTGATTGGAAATGCAGTTTTGAGCCTGTGTACCTGAATATCTTGTTTACCATTCTGCACAAACTCGTGAGATTAAGGAATTGTAAAGCAGGCAGTTGTCAGACACCCACTGTGTGCTAAGCGTTTGGCAGGGTCTGTATTCAGAGACAAATGAGACTGTGCTCCCACTGTAGAGGCTGACAGTTAGCTGAGAGGGGAGGGGAGGGGAGGGGAGAATCAAGCATTAGTAATTACAGATGTGCTGCCACTTAGGCTTATAAGAGTCTCTGAGGCTGCTGAGAGAGACTAGAGGAAGAGGAATCCCTCAGCTTTGTGGTGGAGGAGAATCTAGGCTTTACAAAGGAGGTAGTGTTTGAGCTGGATCCATGTCGTTAATAATGCATCATACTGTATTCTACCTAAATGCTTTTATAACCTTAGGATACCAAGCAGGTTGGTTTATATTATAGGCTCTAGGGCAGTGGTTCTCAACCTGCGGTTTGTGACCCCTTTCATAGGGATCCCATACCAGCTATCCTGTTATGACTCCTAACAGTAAAATTACAGTTAGGATGCAGCAACAGAAATAATTTTATGGTTGGGGGGGTCACTACAACAGGAGGAACTAATAAAGTGTTGCAACATCAGGAAGGTTGATAACCACTGCTCTAGAGTGAAGGGACCACCACCTAGAATTTGAGTCCTTGTCCATTGTTTTTGAAATAATATTTGAGATTATTTTGCTTGTGGCTCAGCATGTGAACAGCAGAGTTGGCAGAGGTAAGTAGAGAAGAGTTCCATGAGGGAATGAAAAAGAACTTCAGCTGGTGATGGATGGGAAGCCACCAAAGATGCGGCAGAAAGGGAACAGAACCAAGGGAAGGCATCCTGTAGCCTTGGAGTAATGATGCTGAGGCCTGACTCCTGTGCGCTGGTTTGGGAACCACATATTGTTGAGCAGGTTTGCTGAGACATGGGTGGGGAGAGCTTGGTGGGAAAAATGCTGAAGTCTTTTGCTGAGCGCTCTGATTTTCAGCGCCAGTATTAGGATGAGCACTTAATGAATGTCCAGTGAGAAGAAAGACAGGAAGACCACATACTCCGTCTTTGCATAGGAAAACACTGGCAATGTGTCAAGAAGCTCCACTGGGCTTGAGGATGATGTCCAGGACTTTAACTAAGGCACTGATCATGCACATCTAATGAGTTCTCATCTTCATTCCCAGGGCTTGAACCAGGCATTTCCATTTCAAGCAGAACTAGGAAATGAAAGCTGGAAGCCTTCTTTCAACTGTAAAAACTCTATACCTCATGGATGCCTTTGTTATTGAAGAGATTGGATTGATCAGATTATTGTTTATTAAAAAAATACATAGCACAGAATTTGCATTGCAGTTTTGGATTAAGACTAGAAAGATCAATTTTTTTTTTTTTTTTTTTAAAGATTTATTTATTTCATTTATATGAGTACACTGTAGCTGTCTTCAGACACACCAGAAGAGGGCATCAAATCTCATTACAGATGGTTGTGAGCCACCATGTGGTTGCTGGGATTTGAACTCAGGACCTCTGGAAGAGCAGTCAGTGCTCTTAACCACTGAGCCATCTCTCAGCCCCCGAAAGATCAATTTTTTAAAAATGATTTATTTATTTGTTTTATATGAATACACTGTAGCTGTCTTAGACATACTGGAAGAGGGCATCAGATCCCATTACGGATGGTTGTGAGCCACCATGTGGTTGCTAGGAATTGAACTCAGGACCTCTGTAACAGCAGTCAGTGCTCTTAACCTCTGAGCCATCTCTCCAGCCCACATCTTTATATTCTGTTTTAAAAAATCAGTATTGCTGGGTAGTAGTACAAGCGTTTAATCCCAGCACTTGGGAGGCAGAGGCAGGTGGATTTCTGAGTTTGAGGCCAGCCTGGTCTACAGAGTGAGTTCCAGGACAGCCAGAACTACACAGAGAAACCCTGTCTCGAAAAACAAAAAACAAACAAACAAACAAACAAACAAAAAACTCCAACCAAACAAAAAATTCGTTATTTTTGTTTTAGAGCTATGTAGATTATACATATGTGCATACGTGCTCAGTGTGCACCCCGTCCCCATATTAACACACACTTTTTTGTGAGAAAATACCTGAATTTTAGTTGCCTCTGTAAGAATGTGTATATATACATACATGCATACCATACATGTGTGTACATACAAAACAACAAACAAAAGAGTAGATAATTGAAACTATTCTATAGTTCCTATTACATTTCTATATGAATAAGGAGAAATGAAAATATCAGACTATCTTGGGAAAGACAGTAAGGTGAACAGTACTTTCCATTATAAAAAGTGAAGGGCTAGCTAGATGGGTGAGTGGGGAAGGTGCCGACCACTAGGCCTGAGGACCTAAACTTAGTCCTTGGAAAGCACAAGGTAGAAGGAGAGAAGCTGTCCTCTGATTTCCACATTCATGTCATGAGGTGTGAGTTTGCATATATACACTAAATAATTAAAATTTAATAATAATGCTGGGTGTGCTGGTCCTTGCCTTCAACCTGAGCACTCTGGAGGTAGAGGCAGGAGGATCTCTTGAGTTTGAGGCCAGCCTGGTATACATGGTGAGTTCTAGGACAGCCAGGGCTACCTAGTGAAACTCTGTCTCACAAAATAAAACAAAAGATATTGGAGAGATGGTTGAGCAGTTAAGAGCACTGACTGCTCCTCCAAAGGACCTGGGGTTTGAATCCTGGTTGGTTCACAACCATCTGTTCTTAGGTGTCCTCTTCTGGCTTCAGAAGACAATGCATACAAATGGTATACAGATATACATGCAAGCAAAACACTCATATATAAAATAAGAATAAATCTTAAAAAATATTACTACTATTATTACTATTATGGTTTTTCAAGACAAGAGTTTCTCTGTGTAGCCCTGGCCGTCTTGTAATTTGCTCTGTAGACCTTAGAGAGATCCTCTTGCCTATGCCTCCCAAGGGCTGGGATTAAAGATATGCATCACTGCATCAATAATATGTACAAAAAATCATATGAAGTAAATATGTACCTGAAATTTAATTTTTACCTTTTCATCATAGATTATGGGAAATGAGGTCAGAAAAATATTCTAATCTTTTTTGTTTCATTTCTTCCCCTCATGCTTAAAAGACAGGGCTGGAGAGATGGTTTAGCTGTCAAGATGGCTTATACTGTTTTTTCGCAGAAGCTAGGTTAGGTCAGAATCTACATGAAATGACCTATCCACT